GTTGAAGCTTGAAGATTAGTAGGACTTTCGAGAGAGTCTCTCGGAGGACTGGACTAGCCACGAGGTGGTGAACCAGTATAAATCCCGGTGTTCTTCTTTCCCTTACTCTCCTTACTTTTTCCTGCGATAATTTTTACGAAAAACGTACATTCTTGAAAACAACTCTATTCACCCTCCCCTCTAGAGTTGCACTTTTGTCTAACAATTGGTATCAGAGCAGGAAGTTCTTCGAATACGTTATTTTTTCAGGAACTAAAAGATCAAATGGCATCAAGAATGTTCAACGCAGGAGTGACCGAGGGACAATCAACCACGAGGCCACCTTTGTTTGATGGAACAAACTACTCGTATTGGAAGGAGAGGATGAGAATCTTTATCCAATCCAACGACTACAAGCTATGGTTGATTGTGAAGAACGGCTGCAGAGTCCCTATGAAGAAAGTCGGTGAATTCAACGTTCCCAAGACCGAAGAGGAGTTCACCGACGAAGATTGCAAAAAGATGGAGCTCAACGCAAAAGCAATAAACATGATTTATTGCGGTGTTAATGCGGATGACTACCGCAAAATTTTGCGGTGTGAAACCGCAAAACAAATGTGGGAGAAATTGGAGGTCACCTACGAAGGAACCGCGCAGGTTCGGGAAGCCAAAATCGACCATCTCACTCACGAGTACGAACTCTTCTCAATGAAGGAAAACGAGAAGATTGAGGAAATGTTTGAGAGGTTCTTTAACATCATTAATCCTCTCAATCTTCTCGGGAAGACCTACACCGACCGAGAGCTCGTGAGAAAGGTGCTACGAAGCCTATCCCCCAAATGGCGTTCAAAGGTGGACGCAATCGAAGAAGGTCGTGACTTCCAAACAACGACCTATGATGCTCTTCGAGGTAATCTTATTACCTACGAAACCACCCAACTCTCAAAGGTGGTTGAAGAGAGGAACAAGAGGTCTATTGCTCTACCCGCAACAACATCAACCCACAACAACGTTGATGAAGAAGATGATGACAGCGACGACACCGACCTCGGACTCTTTGTCCGAAAATTCAAGAAGATGATGCTCAAGAAGGGAGCCAAGAAGAACACTCCACCCAAATGCTATGGGTGTGGTGAAATTGGACACATCAAACCAATGTGTCCGAAGCTCAAGAACGAGAAGGACAAGAGGGCACCGAAGAAGCAACGTGCCTACATCTCTTGGGAGAACGACGGCTCCGGGAGTGAAGACTCAGAAACGGAGGAAGTGGCCAACTTATG